TTTCCAATCACACCCTTAGTCGCCCTACAAGCGTGTTTTCTTCATTTTTTTTATTTTTTTGTTTTGCCTTCAAAATTTTAAATTTCTTACATTTTTTCTTAAAAATTGTTTGAGGTTTATATGCATTTGCTGTTTCAGTTTAAATGGATGTTTTGCCAACCACTATTCTGTTGGCATAATAATTAGATGACTATGGAATAAATTAAAATGTTTATTTATTTCATTATACCACATAGTTATATTTATATTTTATATAGCCATAGAAAAAATACCGAAGTATGCTCAAGTACGACCTAAGGGTCAAGAGAAAGGTCGAGGTCGATTATGAGGAATTAAAGAGATCAAGGTTACCTAAGTATTTGAGTAACATCATTATGACCTATGAGTCCTGGAGTGTTACGTAACAAGAGCGACTTGGCAAGTAGAGTAACTTTACAAATGCCAAAGCGACTTAATGAGCTACTACTTGTGAGAGCGCCTTGTGAGAAGATGAATGTGACAACTAGATCTAGACAATGACTCAAATAAACCAATCTATAATGGATAAGGAGGAATTTAATGGTGATTTAAATGTGATTATTATTAAGATAAGAAAAAATCTTGGGCAATCGAGCAGGTTGATCGCGGTCAAATCGAACAGGTAAAATCGATAGGTATTCTCGTATAAAAAGGGGTGAAGTACAACTGTAAATCATCTACACTTCCTACATACAACTTATTATATTTACAAAACTTATCCCTTTCATCTTCCCAGACTTACGCATTGAAGTGTTAACGTTGGGAACTCCTCCTGACACTTTTGCAGGTCTTAGCCATTCAGGGACAATCAGTGCTCTCGTTTTTTGATTCGGTCTCGACTCAGATCCTCGGCCTACCATTTGGCGTCATCTGTGGGGATTCTTTTGAAGGAACTAAGATCTCTCTACCCAGTTTTTGATCACCTGACATGGGTGACAGAGAAGGCATACAAAGGAATTTGAGCGAGGAGTTTACGGATATTTTGACGAATAGGTGCCCTCCTTTGGCACCTAGTCTGGAACCAGGAACTACTATGCTGAGATTGCCACTGATGGAAGGTCGCGCCCCATCGTTTGGTGTGTTGCAAGAGGAGCCATTGACACTAGTAGGGCCAACGATAGCACCAAGCAGTGAAGGTACAAGTCGACAAGAAGGCGTGGCGTAAAGAGAAAAGCGGACTGAAGAGAAATGGAAGAAGATAGAGGTCTCTTTCCACTCCCAGCGATCAGAGGAGCAAAAGTTCACCCTCACAAGGACCGAGTTGCAAAAGATGATTACAGAATGAGTAGCAGCAAAAGTGATCCAAGGCCAAAATACCTACCCAGTAGCTCCCATGACACAACTTACAAAAAGGGAGAGGATGAGGTGTCATCTATGAAGACGAAGATCTGCACAAAGTCGACCAGAGATGACGCGTTGGAGAAGCTAACACCTCAAATCTGTGAACTACAAGCTAAGGTTGAGGTAAAGAGAGGATCTAGCTTGAGAGGTCATCCATTTTCGCAGGATTGGATGTTGACTTACCACAGGGATTCAGGGNGTAACTTTGAAAATCCACATTTTATTGAATATTTATTTATTTATTTATATGACTATGATTGTCCTCGTTTCGTGTGGGTTTGAGGTTATTTTTCTTGATGATTGGTTAGAAAATCGTGTATTTTGGGTGACAAAAAACTACTCCAAATATTCTTTCGAGGTAAATTGATAATACAATATATATATAAAATAAAAAATAAACCAAAATAAAAATTGAGTCCTGATGATAAGGATTTCTAAATCTTGTCCCAATTATTGGGACTTTTTAAGTACTTGATGATAAGGTATGTCGGTAAAAAAATTTATATTTGAATCCCTGTACTCTAGTCTTTCACAAAACTATATGTTAAATAATTATGTGACAGAAAAATCATCCCTATTTACCACTTCACATCACTAATCACGACTTTAATTATAAATCATAATTTTAATTTTGACATTTTTCAGTCAAACATAACCATAGAAAAATGAGGAGACCGCCATGCCCCAAATTTAAACTTCCTTTGAATATATATATTTTTAACACCTAATTTCTTAGTTAATTAATTACTAAACATTGATTAGAAACTAAATAATCAAATAAACTTTATTGATTGGTCGTCATCTGAACGCGTGCTTTATAGATTTTATTCTTGGAAGATACTCGAATTTGTCTAACAGAAGAAGAATATTTCTTATCATTAAACGATGTAATCATGTAATTGAAGTACTCTCGTGAAAATTAAATTTTGACTTCAATTTACATTTAAAAAATATAACCAACAATGAAAAGCAAGAAATAGAAGTAAGCTGCTGTAACATCAAGTACTTTTTTCCAATAGGCATCGAAAAAAGTGTGAAGACGAGAATGTTTGGCAAACAAAAATTCTGATATAAATATTTGTTCTTAAAAAAGAACACAAAAAATTAGGGAAGTTTTTCAATTTTATGTTGTAAAATGTGTGAAAATGAGCATTTGTTTGGCTCGTAAGTCGCAGACAATTTAGACGACGAGCACTAATTAGAAAAAAAATATATTTCAATAACAGATGTAGTGCATATATAATTTTTTGTCGTGTTACAAGTTATAGGTTATATATAGATAACATATTAAATTGTGTACAGTTATAAATGAAATTAAAAAATATTGTCATGCAAATATTGGGTGTTATAAACGGTACGTATGTCAAATTATTAGAATAAATAATTTCACTTTTTACAATTAAACTTAAAAAAAAAAGGAAGATTATAATTGATTTTATGCCAGAAAATAATTGTGAAGTCGAGATAATCTCTTTCAGTAAGACAAATCGCTCTTATAGTGCTGACGAGACTGTGCATCTTCCAAAAACAATAGCACGAGTCTCGAAAGTTGTAGCCCTCTAAACTTTAAAACACCAACAAACGAGATTATAGTCGAGAACTGAGCATAATATTATGTTATAATGCGTGATTTTCTATTTTCTGCACTAATTTTTTAAGATCGGTCAATCAAGATCGATCGAACCCAATTTTTTATTAACTGATTTTCTAAGAATGTGTTGGTGGATATCTATTTTCTGCACTAATTGGCTTTAATACATAATACAGAAAGTGGTTGTTGTAAAATTAAACTTAACTGATAATTAATTTTAAAAAATGATAAGTAATATGGAATGAGATGGTGACAGACTGATAATAGGTCCCTAATTGTGTAATAACATAATATTTACAAAATAATTACATGAAATGATGATTTATGCACAAGAGTGTACCTACTCTAATACTGTGATTAGGTGGAATATTAATTACATCTATTTACTATATAATTAGGCAACACAATTACTAAAAATAGTAAGTATTTTAGTGGGTCCCTCATCATATTACTATTTATAGAAAGTTAGTTTCAATCTTTTTTAATTATTTTCTTAAACGTGTTCAATGTTCACCTTGCATTAATTATTTTTTTTTCATTTTTAAAAATAGTTTAATAGTTAAAATGGACCTAAATTTGTTGTCATTTATAGATAGGCAGTTTAAAATGTATTTTCTGTTTTGATTTCTCATAAATACCAAAGTAATTTTTTTTTTACATGTAAATAACATGTTGAATCACTGTGAATTATTTATGATGTGTATTAAATAATAATTTATATTTAAAGACTTCCTAAAAATATGAAGATACAAGATAATAATATGGTACTTATTTACATAAAAGAATGGTTTACAAATAAAGAAATTGTAATTACATGTATAGAAAATAATATTAATAAGTAAAATTACGATATAAATTATAAAACCACACAAGCTATTAGAAGGGATTTTTTCTTCTAAAAAATAATATTTTTTTAATAAAAAAATAACTTGAGATTGGTCTTAATACCAGTAAAAAAAATGTTTAGAATTCTAATAGGATAAAAAAAAAAACGAAAATATTAAAGCATAACAAAAATTTGATAAAAGATCGTCCTACATATTAATAGTGCATAAATATATTTTCAGTTTTAAGATAAGTGAATTAGTACCGGTGAAATCGTGGAGAAGTTGGAGTTCCACAACCACCACGATTTAGATAAACTAACAAATTGAGTTTGCGTATGTGTTCACATGATACAACTGCTAATATTTATAACCTCAATTTTTAATTTCTATGATAATGATGTTAACGTGATAACATAACATAATATTGAGAAAAATAAATCAATTACACCATATAATGGTTTTGGCACATAACATATAACATAATGAAGAAGTAAAGAGATGGATCTTTATTGTTTAAGTGGCAACAAAATTTTGAGAGAAAATCCATGAATTTTAAAGAGACAGGGAGAGAGCGAGAACATATGTGCAAAGTTTTTAAGGAAAAAAAAAAAATAGAGAGAAGTTATAATATTGGAAATTATATACCATATAGAAAAAATTCAGCTTCAAATAAGATCTATTGATTCGTAATTTGTTAAAGGAAAAAGAAAAGATATAGTCTATCTATTACATAAATTATTTATTATATCAACAAAATCAAATATAATGTGTTTTTAAGAAATAATGCCCAAAAAATTCAATAAACGTCCCAGTCAAATAAGTTAGTCATTTTTATAAAAAAAAAAATGATACTATTTCTCAAATCTTGCATATAATGAGACAAACATGGATAAATCTCTTTTATATTGCAAAACTTTATGCGCGAATTATGAAATTAGGTGCTTCATTTATGAATTTAAAAGGCATGCAATGGTCTTTTCATTTAAAGAATGTCAAGCTCATTATTTGTTCATTTACATAAACTTTTACGTAAAGGACACAAGATATTATTTTATGATGAGAAATAAATATACAATATAAATATTGTATATAGTAATCTATTTAATTGTCTATAAAAATTATTTACTCTATTTATGTTTCCTTATTGATTTATTTTAAATTATTCTGTGCATTTGCACGGGCCACGATACTAGTATGTGTAAAGTGGTGTCTCACATGAAAAATGAGAAGTTGAAAAATGTACATGTAGCACATTGGTTTTCATGTGAAATGACAAAAAATAATGTTGGAAATTCACATAAACATGTGAATCATACAAAAAGATATATCCATCATCCTTATTACAAACACATCTTCACACTTGCAATATGCAATAAATGTACAAGTTTTCAAGGAAAAAAAAAATCAAAAGAGGCAACTTTTTCGTAATTTCATCAAACTTCAGGGGCACACTTGCAAATTATTCACGCATGCAGTATGCGAAAAGCCGGTTCAACCCATGGCCTTCCTCAGAAGCTCGTAACCGGAAAAGTTCATGGCGCCAAGTGGCGCGACCCAGAAGAACCGGGGCACGGCCCCTTTGAAAAGCCCGAGTGGCCCTTCTTGGCGCAAAATCGAGATCACTATAAACGATACTTTTCCCGTTTGCCCTTGACTGGCAATCATCATCCTCGTTTTTATAACGTCGATTGGAGTTGTTAAGACGGCAGTTAGGCCTCCCGACAGAGCCCCAACAGCCACCGTTTCCCAAGGTTGCAGCTCCCGACCTATGAGCCGCTGGACAACCTAAAATAGCGTGGAAGTCTCGAATTAGACAACCCGGTTAAGGTCAAATATTACATTTTTTACGCGAGATATTTGTCAAAACACGTTTGACACCAGTGTTTGTCTTTCACTATTTGTGTCTAAAACCCATTAGAAAGAGAATGTCCTGTATTTATAATGGGCTAAATTGCAAATTTGGTCCTATTAGATTATGAAGGTAGCAATTAAGGTCACTCTGGAGTGACATATAGCATTTCAAGTTGTGTAATTTAAAATTTTGATGCAATTTCAATCATTTGGCCGTCAAAATTCTCAATTTATATAGACAAAACTGCACTTTTTAGTCGTGTTGGTTCCACCAAGATTCTAATTTTTCGCTTGGTCCTGTGATTTAATATTTTGCTGCAATTTCAGTCTTTTGAGTACTGAAATTGCAACTAAATTTTAAATTACATACTAAATTGCAACAAAATTTTAAATTACAAAGACTTAAATTGCTAATTGACAACAAGGGAACTTGTTGTAATTTAAATTGCAGCAAAATATTAAATCACAGACCAAAGGTGAAATGTTTGAACCTTGAGACTAAAATTGTTGTGGCGTTTAACCAACAGGACTAAAAATGCAATTTTGCCATTTATATATATTTGGGATGGATTTTGATTAGCAATTTAAGTTCTGTAATTTAAAATTTTGAGCAATTTTGGACCATCAAAATTGAGAATTTTAACAGTTTCGACCAAAATTGTAGCAAAGTTTCAGGATTCAAATTGTTATATGTTACTCAAGTGAGACCTAAATTGCTATCTTTATAATCTAATCTAACATGACCAAAATTGCAATTCAGCCTCTACAATGTGTAACCCGATGAACAAAAAGTGTTGCAAGTAGTACGATTTTCCGCAAACTCTAAATGAATGTGTACCTTCTTGGACTCGGCATATAGGCCCATCCCAGCTACGTAGAAAGGTATCTCCCGGCAGAGAGTGGCGGCAGTGCCACGGAAAAAGCCCCCGACACCATCTTGCCGCCATGTCCCGGCAATAGCTTGGCCCACATTTTCGAATAAACCGGCTTGCAATCTTTGCTTAAGTACTTCGCATGGAATTCGCATTGCCGTCCCCAAAAAAGTACCGCAAAACGATGACATGGATTCTACCTAATTAAACAACATGCTTACAAATGAGACTTAAGCTTAGTATAATGGGCAAGTAAAATTCTTCCTCTTTAAGAATTTCAACTAGGTGTTAGTGATTGTGACTGATTTTTTTTCTTTTGATATTACTGATTATACTTTACCTTTCAAGATGCTACATTTTGTCTACTTTCAATTTGATTGTCTACTTTCAAGAAAGAATGAAAAATACTGCAACTTGAACAAAATTGAACTAATCGGTAACTACACGAAACAACCCTCACCTGCATTAATGGAAGTCCAGGTGCAACATTGATTAGCACGAGCTTGCTTGCTTCACAAATTCCAGTCCTTAAGCCGTGGCTGAATTATTCGGTAAATTAATATCAACACACAGAGAGAGAGAGAGAGAGAGATAGAGAAAGAGAGTGAGAGAGAGATCAAATGGTACCTTGAAAACTGCCCAACGATAGCTGGAATGGAACCTCTGTATAATGCATGGACTCCATACTGAGGAAGCTTCGACATAACTTCCGGGAAGGTCAGGGTTGAAGAAGCTTGCACCCATGTCNAGAGGAAAAAAAATGACCAGAAAATCACGTAAGGTAAGGAAAAACCATGTGAAGTGAGACTTCAGCTGATGATAAAATCGCACGGGATATCATATCAGATTTCAAACTCCCACAAATCAATTCTTAAAAACGGTTTTTTACTGTAATTCCTGAACTTCTCTGGCTTGATTCTTTTAATATTCAAAAACATAAAGTGATCATCGTGTACTTCAAGTGTATTGAAGAATAAATGGCTGTATTAAGGTAATAATGCTTCAAAGCGACAAGGCGTAAAAGTATTGTTAGCACTTAGCAGTAGCAAATATGATCATTGAGGACAAACATTTACCTTAATTGTGTCAACAGGGTGCATTATAGATGCGGATAATGCACAAGAAAGCCCTCCGGCCAATGCCGATTTCAAAACACTGCCACGAGGAATTTCAACAGAAGACTTTAGGCTCCTATCACAATCACATAAAGCAGAATTGCCATTAAATTTCTACTTATAAGCTGATATACAACACGAGCCACTTAAGATATTTCTAAATGCTACATGTGCATCGAAATATTTGGGTTCGTAACACTCAAAAATTTGAGCGTATCAGGAGAATATATAAACAAACATGAAATATGGGAATATGTGTATATTTCAAGATTCGGTAATTTTACCACCATTACTATTATAAATAGCAAAGAGTAATAAATTGGTAAAATCAAGATACAAGTTTGACTCTACGACATTGGCAGCAACTGAGATTTACATTAAAACTTCATTCTTTCAAAAGGAAATCTAACAAAGCATATAATATCATGATTTATAAAAGAACTTCAAGCAAAAAAAAAAATCAGAACAAAAAGAAACGTTAATTTACCGTGAGCCATCTCGAATTTGATCAGATGGGAGCAAAAGCATAAAGTTGTGGAATTGCCCATAAGATATAGCAACACCATTATCTTCACTGGCTGGATATCCTGCATTTTCTAATAATGCCAATAATTCATTTTTCTCTTGCTTACTACACTCACCTGAATACAATCTCGTGTAAGCTCGACGAATGATTGGCTCTTTCTTTTCCAACAGAGATAAGAAATTTTTCCAGCCAAAAGATTTAGAGAACAAGTGACTCCTAGTACGCCGTAAGAAATCATGAGCGTATCTCTTCGGCAACTTTCTCTTTTCCATAGCAATTTCAAGATCTTCCAGAGTAACTTTCCCATCAACATCTCTGTCCAGCTCCTGGAAGAATCTTTTGCCTGCAGAAAACAGATTGTTCTGTTTTTATTTATTTCATAAAGTTCATAATGAGATTGATGGAACAATATCACACTTGATTCATTGTGCCCTTGAATAGCACTATTCGAAGCACAAGCTCATTTTTTTGTTTTGAAGCATTTCACTATTTGGGGATGAATTGAATTGTTCAGCAAGCTTTCTTATCATGTCTAACTTTTTTCACGTATCCTCAATCAAATAAAAGACATTCTTAACACTTAAGTGAAGAATACCAGCCTTCAGCTTCAGTGTATTTCAAGAAATCGGATAGAGGAACATTAAGCATCCCTTTCGCCATCTTTTGAAGCACATTTTCTCGAACATTCTCCTCATCAACAGAACTTTCTTCTTCCCCAATTTCCTTTACAGAAGGCACATGTTCAACTGCACTCGATTGAACACCTCCAACTTTTGCAAACTTCAAATTCGTTAAGAACCCACCAAAAACATCTTCCTTGTCCCATAAACCGCTACACAGTGTCTGCTCAAACTGGTTATCAAGCGAGATCGAGCCGTCATAACAAGTGTCCTTAAACTCATGAGCTTGAACACCCACTTTGAACATTGGAAAACGACCCAGTTGATCAAAGATCAACCTTTTCAGGTGTTCAATCGACAAACCCTTTGGCCTAATTTCACCATTGTTGCATAAACTATCTAATTTGCCTGCCCAATCATGGAAAAAGCTAAAATTATCATGCTCATTGTTCCCACGTTTTTCAGTATAATAATTTCCAAGAACTGCACTGACTCGAAAGCTCCCCTTTTCGCCATCTTCATCATAAAAGACTGCATCTTGACCACTCCTCCTTTTCTTCTTCTTCTTATTCTTCACATTCAACTGCTCAAAATCACCATTTTTCAAGACCCCATCAAAGCAATTCTTGAAATCCATGGCAAATTTCCTGAAATTCGACTCAAGTGGATAGCTAACCACGACATGAACAGAGTGAAAAAATGAATCCAACGGATTACTCCCCCCTTGCAAAGCCATCACTATCATAAAACCTAGCTCAACCACAAAAAACTCATACGGAAAAAAATCCACATACGCACACCACGATGAACAGATTCAATCACAGCCCGCGAATTTCATCGGATCCAAAAACCGAACCCAGCTGTTGATTTCGAATAAAGTCAAGAATTCATCAGTTTACTTTGCAGCACATCAAGGAAAAACCAGCGACGGGAGCTGAGTGGAATCTGGTTTGATCGAGCATGTGATAGTGTAGTCCACCCACCAGTTTAATTAATGTAATGAAACAATGATTAAGACAAACAATCGTTTTATAAATAAATAAGTGGATACAAAATTTTTCATAAAATTAACATTTTTATCAACCGTTTTCTAACTTTAACTCAACCCACTATAATCAATATTATCAATATAATTAAATAATATCAATCAATCATTCTTACACACCACCTTATCTTAATTCACTATTCATCCACTCCCATAATTTTAACTAACCATCACTTCAAATCCTCTCTCCTACTTTACATCAAATCAACTTTAATCATTTTATTTTAAATATTATTCTAATATACACACTAACAACTAACCATACCAACTTTTTTAAAATTAACCAAATCAAATAAAAAAATTCAAACAAAACCAAAATTTTTTATATCCAATCATCCTGTAAGAGTTTCCTTTTAAATTATCAAGTAGTTTATACAAAATTATTATAAGTAAAATGAAGGTTTTTTCTTTTTTCTTTTTTTTTTCCTTCTAAATTATAAGTTATTTATAGCTCATACTAGCTATTGTAGGTTCCTTTGCAATGCATGGATTGTAAGTTTTACCAAAAATAATTTATATAATGTTTATAATTTTAATATATAATAAAACTGTTATTATAAAACAACATTAATTAATATTACAACTATATATAAGTGAACAAAAAAAGGATAGAAAAATATTAGTTAAATATAAATTCTTTTGTTGACATGCATTACTAAATTTAATTATTCTTATAATATAGTATAAGAAAAATCAAATTGGTATTTCAACATAATAAAAATTTAATCAATTAATTGAAATTGTGAGTATGAAAAATTAAATTAAATTTAGAGATAGCAAATTAAATTATAAATAAAAGTTTAATATATACCATTTATGTTTATTATATAAAATTTGATGGAAAAGTATAGAAAGCATTCACTTCAGTTACATATATACATTCACTTCAGTCACAGTGGCTAACTATTTTGTTTGGAGAAGGTTAGGTAATCTACAGGTCCCAGCTTGGTGTAGTCTGCCTAGTAGTTTATGTATCTTCTGTGTCCTTTTGATTCCCAGGGTATATTTAGGCCATGTGTTTCATGGTACTCTGTATTGCTACTTCTTATTAAGGCTAGTTGGCCTTGTGTTAATACAATAGTGTCTTTCGTTGGGTGAAAAAA